TTCTTCTTCTTCTTCTTCTTCTTCTTCTTCTTCTTCTAGGCTTTTGGCGAAATATCTTTGGGCCCGAAGGACCGCCCGGACCTATCGGTGAGGTGAAGACCAATTTCACCGTTCATGCTGTACCCCTCAGACATACAGTACCCTCGATTGGTTACCTTATGGTTGAATCGCCCTCACCGCCACGTATGATGATGGAAAAGGTCCACGAGCTGGGAGTTCCACCCGGTCCTCTTCTGGGCAAATTAAAGAAGGTACTTTCAGTTGCATCTGTTTACGTTCAACTTTACCACCCTCTTTTACTTGAATTTGCATTCTACGACTAACACTTGCTCCCTTTCAACAAACGGCCCTGCTGTGTGTCTGATTAGATTGCCTTGATGAAACATTCACTCTTGCATAAGTTCAAACTCTGTCATAATACTACTTCAGAAGTCGCCAACGTCAACAGAACGTGAAAGTAAGGTTTGTTTCTGAAATTCCATAGTGACCCTGAGAGCCCTAAAGATGAAGGAGGTGAAGGACGGCCATATACTATTCACAAGGAACCTTTGAAAACAACTGTTGAAGAAAGCTCAGGTCAAAGTGCCAGAGACATGTCTGAGGCACTTGATGTTGGTATTTCAACGGTGTCCGACCATCTGATAAATAGGTCCCGCATGACGTTAACAAAACTAGAAGCAGTCGACCGGTTGAAGTTGGTTCGATGTAGTCCAGTTCTGATCAAGAACAAGGCACGGCTACACGTTTCCACGATGACACTGCAGAAACCCAATCAGCCGGGATACGAGACTTTACCATGCGTTTCTCCGATCTTTCATCCACTGACTACCAGGAACAAAACTGAGTTGGAGGCTGCATTCAAGGTTTTCTTAGCACCAAAGCTAGTTGATTTTCATCGGCGATTTATAAATGACCTTTTTCACTGTTGACAGTGATGAATGAATATTCGTACTTTTGCTAATTGTAGCCTACATAGTGTTGAATTTGTTAAGAATGACTGTTGGTTTCTGAAGTTGACCAGTATTTCCGGACACCCTTATAGAAGTAATTTCGCGCTTATGTGCGGTTCTGAAGGTTCGGACGCGTCCACCACCTGAATTCCACTATTACGGGCCACTGGACATTTAAGTTAAACGTTCGAACTAGGTTGGCTGCCGGTTTATTAGGAAAAAAGATATAATTCTTCCCTGCAAGTATTAGTTTTCATAACAACAAGTGTTATAGTCCGTTGATTAGATGGGCGGAAGAAAAAAGCGGGTTCCGGGAACAACCATCTTATTGTCAACCTGCGCGCGCTTTGCCCCTGGCCATGCATGACCCCACGGATGGCAGACCCCGGCTGCGGTTGTCCTTTCGTGCTCGCGTGTTGTCCCTTGAAGGTCGCTCTCCTTGCCCGCTCTGCATGCACCGGTAGCCTGTCCTAGTCCTTTGTTCTCGTGTCCTCAGGACGGCCCAAATTATGACTCGGCCGTCCTAACACGAGCCTACAGTTTACAATTCGTATTTATTTGAAATCCCCAGGGTTCTAGAACATTCCAGCCTACGGTCTGTGGTTGGTTGCTGGATCCTATGAGCGAGTTAGCCTGGATCTTAACCAATGGTGTATTGAATTCTGAAGCGAAATGCGGTTCACGTATATTTTTTAAATTAAAAGTCACATTTCTTGATATCGTAATTAGGCATTTGCAGGTGACCTTGTACCTGTGGGACAGACGTGCTTATATTTTTATTTGATATTTGTGCCAGAACACCTTTCTTGTTAAAAGTTAACAGTTTAAGCTGCTTCCTGTGCAAAGTCAACCGACTGACCTAAGATTGTCCTTATTTTTTTATTATCTTGTATTTATCTTGTAAATGTGGAACCGGCTATTGTCAGACTACATGAACATGTATTTTGGCCCCCGCAATTGCCTTAGCTTCAGTCAAGGTAAATGTGTTCACTTTTTCACTCCCCATCTCCCCTGCTATCCAGGGCCAAACTATTACCTTCCAACGAGACGGTGTCGACGTTACTGTCAGCCCAGATCAGGTAGTTGGCCCTGGCGTCCGTGGTCGCCGCATC